CGCGGCGGTGAGCACGCCCACGGCGCAGACACGCCCAAGTCGTCCACGCGCCCATCGCGTCTCGTCACCGCCCAGCACGCGTCCAAGACGTCGCGCGTGATCGGCACCATCTTGCGCAAGGTGTTTGACCTCGAACCCGAGGTGCTCGATGCTTTCCTTCACGACGATGCAGAGCGTCAGCGCTCCGGTGCGCCGCTGCCGTCGCGGAGCGCCTCTGCCGCCCCGCGCGCCGGGTTCGCGTTCGAGCCGCCCGATGCACCGTCGCTCATGTGTGCAGAGGGCATGATGCTCGACGGGCGCAGCGAGCACGAGCGCTGGCACGCCGCCTCGGACGCCGAGACCGAGGTGGGCGACGCCGAGGGAGACGCCAGTGCCGCCGTCGACCCGGCGACATCGGCGCTGTTCGCCAACGACAAGCGCGTGCGCGGCGAGGAGCCGGACGACGGATCGGGCTGGCGGCTTACCGAGGCAGCGCTGCTGCAGCGCGGTTCGGCGTCGACGCGCGGCGCAGGTTCGCCGTCGCTCATGGAGCCCACGAGGATGGAGGCGCTGTCGGCGTTTGTCAACACCATGGTGATGCCCGTGCCCATGCCGTTGCGGCTTCTGGGTGCGCTCTTTGGCTGGTCGGGCATTTTGACCTCGTCCAACCCGGCGAATAAGGTCGACAGGGACGAGGAGGGGGAACGCGCATCGGGAGAGGCCGAGGAGGAACGCAAGTACCGCTACGAGCGTCTGCTGAGCGCACAGCAGGCCAAGGCGTGGAGCCAGAGGTACCGCGGCATCCTTTTCGCCAATGTGGATGACGAGCAGCCGAGTCCGGATGTGCCCGAGCTGTGGAGGGGCGAGGAGCATCCGGCGATTGCGGCGCAGCATGTGTACGACTAGCCTTGCAATCCACGATGCGATTTTCCAGATGGGGCGAGTCTTTGTGGGTTTGACGTTGAAGCAAGGTTTCATGGTCCACCTCGCCGAGTCGCTGCGGGGCGTGCATCACGCCTGCCCAGGTTGCTGGGGGGTGTCCCAGCTTGGGTCAGCGTGGTTGGAGAAGCATGTGAACGTGACTGTGAAACGCTCATGATCAGAACACTTTCGGAGTCAGGACGGCTTGCGAAGACTCGCGAGATCGTCGACGCCGCATACAAAGACGCCTTTCCAAAGAAGGGG